GCCAGTGAGCTGCGCCCAACCTGAGCTGCTGCTGAGTTGCCAATGGGCGGCCGGATGGCTCAGCAGGTGAGAGCTCGTGCTCCTAACAACAAGGTTGCCAGTTCCACTCCTGCATGAGATGGTGGGCTCCCCCCGCTCCCCCGCAACTGATTGAAAGCAGCGACTGGACTTGGAGCTGAGCTTGCGCCCTGCACAACTAAGATTGAAGGACAACAACTTGACTCAGAGCTGATGCGTTCTGGGAAAAACACACTGTTCCCCTTCCCTGATTCCCCAACACTGTTCCCTTCCCCAATTCCCCAATAAAATCTTTAAAAAAAAACCAAACAGTGAGAGAAGGCCCAAGATGCTCCCCAGGCCCCATACTCCTGCCCAGCATGGGCCTGTCCACCCCCCCCAACCCCCGCTCCCCACTCCCAGTGATTTTGTGAGCCCAGCCTGGGTATTCCAGCTGCCAACTTGCTGTGTGACCTTGTGCAGGTCCCTACACCTTTCTGGGCCTCAGCCTTGGACTTTCATGAGATTGGGAGGACCAGAGGACACAGCAGGAAACCAAATGACCCTCCCTTACCTAGGAAGGTAGGAACTGAGCTGGATAGACCTGGGTTAAAATTCCAGCCCCGCTAGCTTCTCATAAGGGGACCTTGTACAAATTGTTCAACCTTTCTGTGCCTCTGTTTTTTTCACCTCTCAAAGGTGGAGATAACAGAACCCACTTCACAGGGTGCTTGCAAGGATGACATGATCTAATTCCTTGGCTCTCAATCCTGGCTGCACATTAGAACACCCTCTGGGAGCTGTAAAAATCTTGATGCCCAGGCCCACGCCAGGCCAAATGCGTCAGTTCTGAGTGCAGCCTGGACACCAGGGCTTTCTAAACATCTTCATGACGTTCCGGGGACATCCAGGGCTGAGAACCAGTCCTCACACATTCAAAACACTTAGCACAGGGCCCAGCACAGTGTTTGTTAGGGCTTGTTATTTCTACTGCAGTTAATAGTGAGTAGCTGTAACAACTCCCCACCCGGCCTCCATTTTACAGATGGGAAAACTGAGTTCCAGAGAGAGGATCTGACTCGTAAGCATGGCAGTCTGAGTTGGAACGCAGTCCACGGCTTTTTCTGCACATCATTTTTAAAAATGCTCCAAGCCAGCAAGGCATACATGAAGGATTGTGTGTGGGATCCAGGCATGGTAACGTTTGGGTGAAGGGAGGAATCTCGGGGCTTTCCCAACACCCTTCAAATCCCACCACATCCTCTTCTGCCCTGGGGAGGGTCTTATTTCAGAAGGAAAGGGAAAAAGAGATGGAAGGGAAGCCCGCTTGCCTGGAGGGANGAACGCACTGCAGCCTGAAGAAAGAAGTCCTCAAACTCGGCGTGGGCTTTCTCCACTGTCTCCAAGCTTCCATCCTTGGGGGTCAGCGCTTGCAGGCACCGGCTTCCTTCCTGCTCCATCCAGCTGCTGACCTGGGGCAGGGGAGGGAGGTCAGGACTTGAGGGGCTCCTGGGGAGACATCCCTTGGCCAGCTCCCTGACTTCCTTGGAGGCTGAGGTCTTCATGTCCTCAGTCACTCAGTGGCTGGGCCTGTGTCACTCATTGGCCTGGAGTGAAACCCTCCCAGTTTGGGGAAGAAAAAGGGACAACTTGGGGAGAGGGGGTGCATTGTCATATTCTACAAATATCTGAAGGAAAAAGGGCTCCCTGAGTGGGACTTCTGAGCATCTGGCCTGGCCAGTGTCCTGCACACAGCAGGCCCTCAGGGCACATGCGTCTGCATGAAGTCACAGGGGGGCAAATTTCAGCTCACTCTAACAACTCCGTCTGCCCAATCATAAAAGGGGCAGCCTCAGAAACGATGAGCTTCTGACCCCTGAGGGCACACAAACAGTGCTGCTTCTGCTGCTGTAGAAGAAGGTGCTCAGGCCTGCTATGAACTCACTGTGTGAATTTGGCAAGGCACTTCCCCTTCTGGGGTATCTTCAAGAGTATGTATTCATTCATTTCTAACCTCGCAAAGCTCACTGTGGCAGGCACTAAGATTATCCCCCATTTAACAGAGGGAGAAACCAAGGCACTGAACAGTTAAGGTACTTGTCTGGGGTCACACTGCCAGTAAGTGCCAGAGTCAGGATTGGAACCCAGGCCATCTGGCTGCAGAGCACAGTGTGCTC